TTCATGGTATTGATTCTTAAGTAAACTAGTATCATATTATCCTTCCTACTTTGGAATGCATGTTTTTCCCTAGTCTGAAAAAAAAAAAAAAACCCAATAAATTGTTAACTTCGAAGACTCAGGGGATATATTGAGAAAGAACTATCACATGATATAGAAACTTACATGTGAGCATACTGGATGAAAACAGCATTTGTTTTCCTGCCTTGAGGCTTTTAACCACCACCCCTGCCCCCCGCCTTGGCTCTGGCTCTCTGTGTTTGAAAGTCCTTGAAAGGAGGCAAAGTTAAATCCATCCATATCACAAGGCCCACAGTTTTTGATAACCCACTTACCAATTAAAAGAGCAGGCAAACCTGATTGAATAGTGGGAATTCGGTGTTCCCCCTCCCCTTTCTTCTTGGTCTTCTTGGTCACATAGAAGCAACGAAAAGGCAACTGACACTGTGCTGAGAGAGAAGCAAGAAGAGTTCTCAACGTAGGTGCTCAATAAAAACTCACTGGATTGAGAAAAACCATAGGTACTTTGAAGACTATATGATTTCTCTTTCAGTCAAGGAAAGTTATTGGAACAAAAGAACAGAAGTAATAAAATCTTTCATTATGATAGAATCTAGTTTTCATGCAGAAACTCATATAAAATATAGCATTGGCAGATAAACTTTAACTCTCCAGTGACTTTCAGAACTCCCCCAGACAAGGTCAAGTCCTGGCAGTGAACCCCTTTAGTGCGCCCCAACTTGATTACCTTTTTTTCTTTCCTCTTGTTATTTCCAACTTCTATCGTTTCCAGGCAGAACCATCACCGTTTCTCCAATGTTGCCCCTTAAAGCAGAACCTACTTGAACTAATTTACAGTCTATTTACCTGCCAGGCTGTTTTCTTCCTTTCTCTCCACAAAGTCTTTCTTGATCCATGAAAAGGAACCGGGACTCCTTGGTACCTTATCCAGGATAATTCAGACTGAGAGCTACTTACAGAAGACATAAAAGACTCCCCCATGATTGTACAATTGCCAATCCTGTCTCCATTGAATGGCCAAAAAAAAAAAAAAAAGATTCAGTAATTTCACCTAAGCTTAACTTTACTTGAGAAATTCCATATGGAAGCCCTAGAACCTTCCATAAAATCTCCAAAAGTCAAAACTGGAAAAGGGTCTAGAGCGCCACAGAGCCCGTGGGAGGGAGCAGGAGAGTGTAGTCAGGTGGGAGCAGGAGGACAGTCTGCAGGGAGCAGGGGCTTTTTGGGGTGGCCACACATGGTGGTGGGGGGGTCCGAGGACAGTTGGGCAGCAGGGGAGAGGCCGTGCCACAGGGTGGTTAGGAACGTGTTCTGAGGAGCCAGGAATATAGATCCTGGCTCTGATACGTACTAGCTGAGGGAGCTTGGGTGAGTCACTGGAAGTGTCTGAGCCTCTGGGGCACCTGGGTGGCCCAGTGGATTAAGCAACTGACTCTTGACTTTGGCTCAGGTCATGATCTCAGGGTGGAGAGATTGAGCCCCAGGTCAGGCTCTGCTCAATGGGGAGTCTGCTTGAGATTCTCTCCTTCTCCCTCTGCCCCTCCCCACCCTCAAATAAATAAATCAATCTTTAAAAAAAAGTTTCTGAGCCTCATGGGGTATTCACATTATAAAACATTATGTGGGCTTACTTTAAATGTCCTGGTATCAAGATTGAGTAGATACAAATCAAGAAACATGTTTAAAGAAGTGCTTTACCTGTTAACTCTATCATTTTATTTGAAATCTTATAAATTCTAATTTGTAAAATCTTGACCTCTCTGGGAAAAGATATATAACTCTGACTTCCTAAAGCATTCAGATTCCCGTAATGTTTATAGCATTGATGTACTTTGGGTGTGAGATAAATTTCACATTTTCACCTAACTCAACATTTTTTAAAACTGGACTCCATGTTTTTGATGATAGTGGCTTTTTAATTTTACTGTTTAACAAAATAAACTTTCATAAATTACCTGGAATATGTTTAGGTGGTAGAATTTTTAGGAGTAACAGGACTCTGTAGCACTTCTAGGAATCAATATTACTTTGAAATTTTTAGCTATTGCAATGAGACAAGAGAATAAAATCAGTAACATAAATACTAAGAAATAACAAAGTTATATTTATTTGTAAATGATATAACTGCAAAACCAAAATGTAAGGGTTTTTAAAATGATTAGATTAAGAGAATCTGATAAAGTGGCTGATAGAAAAATTAATAACTTTCTACTAAGAATAACCATTTTTTTAAAAAGGTTTTATTTACTTATTTGACAGAAAGAGACACAGTGAGAGAGGGAACACAAGCAGGGGGAGTTGGAGAGGGAGAAGCAGGCTTCCCACGGAGCAGGGAGCCCGATGCAGGGCTCTATCCCAGGACCCTGGGATCATGACCTGAGCCGAAGGCAGACGCTTAACAACTGGGCCACCGAGGCGCCCTAAGAATAACCATTTTTGACAAAGATTTTATTTTTAAGTAATCTGTATACCCAGCATGAGGTTCAAACTCACAACCCTGAGATCAAGACTCACATACTCCACCAACTGAGCCAGCCAGGTGCCCCAAGGACAATCACTTTAAACAGAACTTTTAAAACTTTAAAACATTCACAATAATAACAAAACTATAAAATGCCTAGGAATAAATTTAACAAAAGTAGTAGAGGACGTAAGTAAAGAAAAGAATGAATTTTAGTAGTAGACATTTTTACAATGCCATTCATTAAATAAACCTTACCTTTTTTTCTGAACTGAAAAGTCAATTAATCATATGTTTATGACATCCTGTCATCATTTCTAATTAATACTGCATGGGGATTCTCAGCCAGTGAAGTAAAGGAAGAAAACAAAAAGGTATAAGTGTGAGAAAGGAAGGAATACAATTCTTATTATTTATAGACATAGAAAATCCAAAGTAGTCTTCAGATAAACTCTTAGAATGAATAAGTGAATTTAGCAAAGTTGCTATATGCATATGAATGTAAATGTAAACTCTATTTCTATATAGCAGGCAAAAATTATAAATGAAAGATTTGAAAAGCTATCATTTACTGTAGTATCAGGAAATTTACACAGAAATGCAAAGGACCTGGAATAGCCAAAACCATCCAAAAAAAGAACAAAGCTAATGGAATTACACTTGTAGTTGTCGAGTCTTATGAAAGAGCTGTAATAACAGTGTGGGATTGGAGTAAGTATAGATATAGACCGATGGAACAAAATACAGTCCAGAAAGAGATCCATGCATATTTGGCCCAATGGTTTATGTCAAAGGTGACTTTGCAGTGCAGTGAGGCAAGAACAGTCTTTTCAACAAATAGATCTGGGTCAATTGGGTATCCATACAGCTATATATTTCTGGTTGAAGTGTTAATTATCATAACCTATTTGGAAAGTAATCTGGCAAGAAATGTTAAAATGTAAAATGTAAACACCCTTTGACTAAACCAAACCATCTTGGGGAATCAGTAGAACAGAAATAGAAGCATCTATACCCAAGGATGTATATGAATAAACAAACATGTACAAAAACTAGAAACAACCTTTATGGTGATTGATTGAACAACAGGATGCGGCCATCCCATGCATTGTTATGTAGCCATTAAAAAGAATATGCTCAACAATGATAATAATGTGTAGCCTTTACTGTGTGTTCATTGTGTGCTAGGCATCATTCTGAGTATTTTATATGTATAAACTCATTCCATCTTGTAACAACAATGCATTGTAATAATAATTGTAATAACAATATTATTTCTGTTTTATGGATGACCAAGTTAAAATTCAAACAGATCAAATATTTTACTCAAGCTCACATAGCTGGTATGTGGTGAGGTCTGAATTTGAACCAAAGTAGTCTTACTCCAGAACACACATGCTTAAACTCCATGTAGTTATTCTGCCTCCTTGAATTGATTAAAGAGGGATTTCTCTTACATACTGGTAATTGAAAAAGCAAATAATGGAAACCTAGTTATCCTATTTCAAAAAACAAAGGAAGGAAAAAAGGGAAAATAAAAAACCCACATGAATATACATTCATCAGAGGATTTTAAAAGTCTTGGAAAGATACTCCTCAAACTGGTAATACTTATTACTTCAGGATTGAGTGAGAAAGGAGGACATTATTAATTTTTTTCACCTCTTTATTATGTTAAGTTATAGAAAGCACTGGAATACTTTGGTCCTGTTTTAATCCAATGAAGTGAAGAAAAAAATAAAAACCAGCCTCCACTTTTAGGTTCACTGTGTTTTCTTAAGAATAAAAGATTCGTTTAACAATTTGACAAGAAATTAATAAAACTTGTCTTCTAATTTCTTACCAGAATTTAGGGCCACAAGCATCTAATCTGTTGTGGTCATTCTACATGACATTTGCTCATTTATCTTCCAAAGTATCTAGATCTGCGTAAAGTAGGTCCCCAGGAAATGTTAAAGTTCCTTCCTATTTATTATTCTCTCCTTTCTGCTTCTCTCTGAAATGACCAGTGCTGTGGTCATAAAGGCAGTCTTATTTTCCATCTTTCATTCTGTTCAGGTGACTGAGACTGGACTAGTTCTCAGCACGGTAACCCAGTGCCTCTTCCAGAGAGAGTGAGCGCCAAACATACTTGCTTCACTGTGGCAAGACTTAAGCTCAAAGACAGGGAGATTTGTCCACTGGGCAGCCTGTTATGGAGGAAAGCATTTTGTTAGGAATGGGGCCAAAGTCCTACCTTTAGAATCATATACAGTGGTTATAGGGATGCAAGTAGTCCATATTTCTAAAATATCTACTGTTTTATAGGCTAATCTATGAATCTTAATAGGGTCTAAAATGATTCGTGTGACATTTTAGCCATGCAGAGATATGAAACTTGGCATTTGGCCTTAGGCAAGAGTTAAATATCTTTCACATAAAACCATTATATGGAATTGGTATTTGAATGTTTGAGAACTTTCCTTCAGCCAACAGTTTGAAACGATGCATTTCATGAACACTTTCTGCTTTTTCTCAGGTCCCATTTGATATCTCGCTGCCATCTATATTCCATCTTGAGAGACTTTTTGACCTTGCTAATGGTTGTATCATATCAGGAGGAAGCCTTTTCAACTGGATGGTGTCGATTATTCCCTAAACGTTCTTTACATGTTAACTAACCTTATAAAGGATTTAATTGATGTTCTTTTTCTTGGTTTGAATACATTTTGGGAACTGTCTTCTTATAACAAGCAAAATAAAATGGTTTCTTACATAAGCTAAATTTCCTCAAAAATTGTAGTTTTGAGTGATGTCTTAAATTGTATCTGAATTAAATGACAATGCTGCTGCAGCTTATTAAAACCATCTCACAGAACTATTCCTAAAAGTATGAATAGTGTGCCCGGTGCAGCTATTCCCATGTTTATACAGCTCACGTGTAGGTTGTCTCTAGATGCATCCACAGAACAAGATTGGATTAAAACAGTGGTTCTCAACTGGGAGCAATTTTGTCCCCAGGGCACACGAGGCAATGTCGGAAGAACTTTGATTTCTGTAACTGGGAGGATGGCGCTAGTGGCCTCCAGAAGGACACTATACTGCAGTGGAAGAGAAAGAGAAAAGAACAAAATACTTCCCATTGAATTCAGAAAAAGAAATTGCCTGATGACCATACCTTCATATGAAATAAAGCTTGGGTCTTGCAGAAAACCGTTAGGATAGTGACGGCTCTTACGTGGTGAGGGCTTCCGAATCCTTTGACCAGAGACTGGAGTTTATAAATTTCTCTTGTGGGAGAGAGGATGCTTTCAAGGGTTTTGTGTTTCTCACAGAGAGAGTTTAACTTACGGGAAGTTTAGCCACCAGGGGCAAAAAAGCACAACAAATTACCTACACATTTAATAGGTGTGGAAATAGAGCATCACTCATAACCAAGGCCATTCACTTCAACCTAATATTAATTTCCAAGGAGTGTATATGCATGCCTCCCACTAGTAAGTTTTTACTAACTGGGTGCTTTTCATTTTTGTTTTAAATATTAGTGGATATAAAGTCATATACTGTTTTATAGGACCCTAGAATAATGCCTGGCACATAGTAGAGGACTATAACACTTCTTGGATGGATGGATGGATGGATGGATGGGTGGATGGATGTGACCAGGTAAGATGGCACTATGGGGGTATAAAAGGAGGGGGAGGGAAGGTATCACCACCACCTCCACCATCACTACCTCCACCATCACTGCCTAACCTTTCTGGAGCATCTACCATGCTAGACACTATATTATTATATACTTCATATGCATCGTCTCCTTCTGTCCTCACAAGATTTATGACCATGATGCACATAGAATGACTGACCCCATGTAACTGATAAGGAAACAAAAGCATAAGTCAATTAAACAATTTGCCTAATGATCACAGTTAGAGGTAGAACCAAGATTTAAGTTTGGTTCTGTCTGACTGGAGAACTTAAACTCTTCATTGCTACACAGGCTTCCCCTCTCTTGCACCCATCCCACTGCTCCGGGAAATTTGAAAGTCAAGGAAAAGGAGGACATAGCTGAGCCTCAGGCTAAAACTGGAACACCTATTGTCTGCTGTAGGAGCGGATTTTTTTAAATGACTTGCGGACCTGAGGGGATGCCCCCAAGAAAACATGGTGGCCGGAGTGGGGGGTGGGGTGGAGTCCCCATTGTCATCCATGCCAATATACTGGGGATGGCAGATCCCTTCCAACTATCACAGATAATATTTCAGCACATTTGTACTTTTTCTCCACTTTTAGTCACTTACAGCTGCTGTTATTCTTAGGCGTTGTTTTGACCAAGAGAAACACTGCCTAAAATTGCACCACACCCTACAGACACAGTTGCCCCATTTTAAGCCATAATTCCAGAAATTCCCCCATTTCTTCTAAAATAGGAACACTCCTGGTTAAAGCTGAAACTTTCTGTACAAGGCAGTGAGGAAATGGCGAGCAAAGGGGCTGAAGTACAAACAAAAAATAAATTCAAACCTACCAGGATGAAAGATGTGTTTATTTCCAGAAATGTCGTTCAGGTTTTGTTTTGTTTGTTTTTTTTTTTTAAAGACCAAATGACACAATTTGCAGCTGCTTATTTTTTTCATGTAATATCCAGTGTCTGCAAATGCTTTACAGCAGACACCTGCGATGTTTTCTATTTTAATTAGAGAATGACAGGACGCAAACGGAAAGAGGAAGAAGAAGGAAAGCAGAAAGAGAAGGGAGGGAAGCAGGCAGCGAGAGAATAGGAGCCAGGGCCAGCAGCTAAGTGATGGGTAATAAAACCGCAGAGCTCCCCATATCTTTCTCCATATCAATCTCCAAGAAATTGCTTTAGAAATTGACCACCTGCCAGCTATTCAGAGGCTTAAACGCAGTAGTCTCGGTTCACTTCATGTGTAGGTGCTTTACGCATTCCCCACCCCAGCTGACTTGTTCTCCTTCATTGAATTACAGGGGAAAATGGCACATTTTTGGACAGTACTAGAAACTTGGTTTCTGCCTCTAGTCTGCATCGCTCTTCCTTCTCCTTCTGCGCATTACATGAATCTTTCCATCCTAATTCAAATGGCACAGTGTCGAGCTCCCAGAACTCCTCGGGCACTGGCTCGTGCACTGCTTATTTGGCTCTTAATAGCGCCCTTCAGCGCAGAGGTTTGCATTGTTAACATTTTCACCATGCAGTCTTAGAACCTTAACTCAAAGGATGGCGTAAGTGTGTGAGTCCACCCCACATTCCTTCGGCTTTCATTTAGCTTAAGACTGGATACTTCATTGTTTGCTAAGGTATCTTGGAAGGTGTCCATAAAGCCTGGAAACCTAGGTGAAATATATATAATGTCATCAAGGCTATCTTCAATCTATGGAAACATAAATTTTAATAATTTAATATTATCTGTGTGTACACAGGATTGGACAAGCCCATAGCTGTTGATTAGGGGAGAAAACAGTAGACCAGGAAGCCCACTGTGGAAGCACCTTTTCTCATTTTCCCATGCTTGAAATGTTTGTGGTATATCTCCCAAAGAAGCTTCGCTCACGTGCCCAAGGAAACTCATGCAAAACTGTTCACTGATGCATTGATTACAATAGCAAAAAACAACCCCCCCCAAACACAAAGAAACAAACCTACCTAATATCTCTCAGGTGGAGAGCAGATAAATAAATGACCGTGTCATCATGCAGTAGGATAGTACACAGAAGTTAGAAATGAATGTGTAACAGACTACTGCAGAATATTGTAAATGAATCAGAGACGTATTTATCTGGATACGCTTCAAAAGTAGGTTGAGTAAAAGAGAAAAAGTGAAGTGTTGCAGAAAACATATATGAAGACACCATTTATATAAAAGTTATTAAAACAGGGGAAATGACCTAATATAGAGTAATTATGGATGTGTAAGTATGTACTAAAAGCATTTTTCGATGCAGGTTCATGGGCAAGCCCAAGTTCAGGTTTGGAGTCACGGAGGAGAGGGAATGAGATCTAACAAGAAGGCCCAAGAAGTTTCATTTGTACTTTTTTCAGCTGGGGGTTTGTTACATTGGTCTCTACTTTTTGCATACGTGAGATAGTTCATAAGTTAAAAGCAAGTGCATCATTTACCTTCTTCATCCTGTTTGCCAGCTCGTTTTGTGTGGTCATTGGCTCACCTGTCGGTAAATAACTATTAAATGTGAGTTATGACGCTGGTCTCATTATATAGCTGTAGTTCACATCTGGTTCTGTTATTTGGGATTTTAGTGACAACTAAAAATCATTTTGAAACTAATGTCAAATTATAAATGTGCTCAATTTGGGGAAACTCCATCTATGAAAATATTAATTTTTAATATAAGATAGTAAAGCCTCAATAAATGTTTAATTAAATTGAGACAGATCCCCTGTGCAATGCCTGTCAATGGTAAGTTCCCTAGTTATACTTTAAATTATTTGATTTTCCAAAATTAGATATATGCAGAACTTTTTACGTGACTACTTGTTATGCAAAATGAGGTTCATTTGTAAAATCCATCTACAATCTATAATTTCAACGTTTTTAAAAATATATTAAGAAGTTTCTCTTTACTGAAGATTCGTTTCCTATTTTTGCTTTACACTTCAGTAGAGCTTTATGAGATGCAACTCTGACTCTAAAATTTCCATAGCAGGGGCACCTGGGTGGCTCAGTCGTTAAGCGTCTGCCTTCAGCTCAGGTCATGATCCCAGGGTCCTGGGATCGAGCCCCACATCGGGCTCCCTACTCTGCAGGAAGCCTACTTCTCACTCTCCCACTCCCCCTGCTTGTGTTCCCTCTCTCGCTGTCTCTCTCTATCTGTCAAATAAAATCTTAAAAAAAAAAAAAATTTCCATAGCAACAGATTTTTTTTTGGTCATAAATACGGGCATGATTAAGAGGAAGACTTTAGTGACAGCAGTTTTTTTCATAATTAAATTCATTAGTTAAAACGCTGGGTTAAAAGGCATAGAGATTTTATTAGAACAAGGACATTTTCAACTGGAGCTTTGGAAACAACACAAAATTAATTGCTATTAAATTGCCTTTGGTCCTGTTTTATAGTTACGAAACATTTATACGTTTTGTATTTAATAACTTAGAATAAAACAGGTCTAAAAACCACATTCTGCCCGAGTGCAAATCAGCTTGAACCCTCCCTTAAAACTGTACACAATGTGAAAGAAAACTCAGCAGATTTCTAAATAATTTGAAGATTTTCTAAGAGTTTCACTACTGTCCTAATTCTCCCCCACAAGATTCACAAGAATAACTTGAACCGATTTCTCTTCTCATCATTGCAAAAACAATTCAGAACTAATATAGAGAATTTGTGAAATATTGAAAGTTACAAAGTAGAAAATAAAAGTTACCCAGAAATCCACTCCTATGAAACAATCAACGTTAACGTTTAAATATATGTCCTACAGCATATCTAATTGTCTTCCCTAAGAGCCAGTAAAATACAATCTTAGACTGAAAAGTATTGAGATTTGAGGCAACTATCCATATTTCCTGAGGTACAGTACAGATGCCTTTCCAGAGCATATTGGTTGGGAAAATGCCCAAATTGGGAGTGTTTAGACCTGGTGGTCTGGATGAGATGCAGTTAGAAAAATCAGGATGTAATTAGATCCAAAGGTATTGTCTAGAGTTCTACTTCTTAATAATGAAGTATATGGTAATGATCCATAGGAAGGAAAAAATATATATCAAATCTTTGTTTTGTCCCTTGGAGGCTGGTCATT